TCTGCCCCAGGAGCACAATCTCCTGCCTCCGTCTGCCCCAGGAGCACCCTCCTGCCTCCGTCTGCCCCAGGAGCACACTCCTGCCTCCCTCTTCCACCACCGCTACCGGGAGAAATGTGCAGCAGACTCGCTGGACACCTTGACCCTGTCAAGTTTTCAGACGGTTGGTCAGGTTAAAGTAAGAAAACACAAAAGCAGAGAAAGGTGGAAAAGAACCAGACGGAGCACAGGAGCTCTGGGTAGGAGCGCACACATTGCGCTGTTTCTCTGCTGCCATCTCCCAGTTAAATGGGACTGTATAGACAGGACAAGTTGATCAAACTGTTTATGAGGCAGAGCAAAGGGAGCTCTCCCTGTGTGTCCTCACTGCTATGTATCCCTCACCTAACACCTACAAACAGACCAAAGCTGGTCATTATTAAAGCGTACTGATTTGCAGGGTGCTGGTGTGTTGAAAGGCACACTCCACAAACTCTCCCAAAAATCTGGGCTCTTGTTTCTTTCAGAGCCGTCCTGTTCCCTGACGGAGAGAAACAGTTGACTTGTGAATCGCAATTTTAACTGCGGGCCTAGCTAACGAAATAGGAACGTCCCACTCCGACGGTATGAGTGGAGAGGAGTCGGGTCTGTTCACGGAAGGATATGCAGAGCGTTCACGGCAGGAGTTCAGCCCACATTCCATTACCCTGCACCTATTTCACAGTAAATTAGGCGGTAGCAATTCAGCGTGCAGACAGCTGGCAGGCTGGAACCTCACTTGCACAGATTTATTAGGAGCCTGCTCTTCCTTTGCGCTATTTTCGGAATGAATAAGCGTGGCACTTGGCTTTTTGCACAGGAAGGAGACGGGAGCGGGCTTTTAAAAGCAAGGTGAAGGAACACCACAAAATAAACACGATGTACGGTCTGCAGTGCCGGAAGAGCCGAGGCATACAAACGTCAGTTTAAAGTCAGGGCGGGGGTGGTTGGTATTGTACGGCGCAGTGGGTCTCTAACTAAGCATGCAACAGCAGAAAGCGACTGAAAGCAGAGAAGCCAAGACCTGCCTGTTAATGTCACAGTGACACTCGGGGAGCTCAGGGTCTGTATCACAGCACTCAGCCATTGCTTCTACCCCGGAGACTGCAGAGACAAGAAGACCGGAGGCCACCGGTCACTGTATAAGGAGTTGAAGAACTCTAGTACAGTGCATGCCGAAGGGACCCCATGCAGCAGCTGGGCTGGGGTGTGCCCTGCACAAACATTTTGCCAACTGGCACTCCCGGCAAGTGTTATTCGAGCCAGCCTGACAACTGGCACGGTGGAGCGACAAGTGTTCAGGTTTCTAAATAAAAACTTACACTCATCGGCATGTGTTGCTGGCCTCACATTCCTGGGGCACCAGGCCAGCGACACCAAGCGCAGCTCCTTCCAACGGGGACACGATAGCCCCGACACTCCAGCATCAGCCATCCAGTCTAAAAAGCCCAGAGGCAGCTCCAATGCACAGAGTTCTCTGGTGCTTTGCTACAGCAGACGCAGGCAAGCAGTCT